TTCCTGACAGTTACAACAGTTAATCAGTGGAACAGCTTGCCTCCAGAAGTTGTGAATGCCCCAACACTGGAAGTCTTTAAGAAGATGTTGGATAGCCATTTGTCTGAAACGGTATAGGGTTTCCTGCCTAGGCAGGAGGTTGGACTAGAAGAACTCCAAGGTCCCTTCCAACTCTGCTATTGTATTGTATTGTACTGTATTGTATTACAAATATAAGAGTTTGATCCCAATCTAAAACATCTAGTTGGTTTCAAGCAAGGAGCAATTTGCATATAATTCCGCATGCCCCCTGTTCTTTTTCTTTCTTTTTTACAACTACAAAACGGTAAAAATGCATCACTGAAATTCTACAACTACACATAAAAAAATAGTAGTATGCTTTTTAAAGGTTTTTTTTACAATAATATAATGTATTATGCTGCCCATGGGCTTAGTGTATTTATTTTGCTTTTTAAAAAAGTAAGTATGAAAAAATGGAAATTTCAGTCCTGTGTCAATGTTATACCTTTACACATTGGCCATTTTTTTCAAGTTTTAGCTGTAAAAAGGTTGCCTGACTTTGGTCCTTCTAAAGATTGCATCAATATGGCCACCCTGAGTTCCACAGAGAAATGCCTGGATATAAATGTAATAAATAAATAAATATGATTTATTTGCTTGATTTGCTTGTTTATAGTTAACGGTGTCATGGAAGCGGTTTTCTTTCCACAAAATCAGGCTGATGATGAACTTTATATCAAGCAAATATATTAATTATGTATAAAAAGGGTGAACATTAGTATCAAATCTAGCTGTCAAAATTACTGCAATCACTATTTATATGTAGCTAAAAGCTAGCTCAAGAAAGCATAATAATGTTATAGATACTAAAATGTACATAGCTAGTAAACATGGTTTGTTTTTAAAGAGACATTATTTAAATAGTCCCCTGTTAAAACCATTACCATTATACAAAAAATAACAATCATTATGAAAATTTATAACCATTTTCCTTATAATCTCCATAATTCGTCCTCACAGGAAGGGTGTATACATTCTACAAGTAGAAATTCAAGCATGTGGCATGGGATATAATTCACGTTATACTTTTAGATTCAAAACTTCATGCATGCAACCAAGTTATAAACAGTCAAGTGTACTGAAATGCCCATTTAAAATGCAGTCTAAGAAAAGATGACACTTCAGCAGTAACTCAGTATGATGAAGTAAGCTCTTATGAAAGTTCATAAAATAGACCAGTCATCGAAGTTTTTTTAACTCTCATTATTTGACTTCAAGTCTCAGGAGGTAGCAACCCTTTACCCAACATTGTCTGAGTTCAGAGGCACATAGAATTAGGCCTGAATCATTCAAAGATAAGACACTACCAGTAGATATCAAGACTGCAGAGTAGACCAGAATTCCAGAAGAAGTCAATAGCAAACTATTTCCATACTAATATAACTAGTTTGGCATAGTCCTCAATTTATGACAATTGCTATAAGTTAGTATGATCATTAAGTGACTCATTCCATGATCTGATCTTACCATCATGAGCCACCTTGGTCATTAAGTGAACTACATGATTGTTAAGTGAGTCCAACATATCCAATAGGTTTTTTTTTGTCATTTTCTACTGGAAAACAAAAAAAGTTGCAAATCATGTGATCACACAATATTACATGCAGTTGTAAATGTGAACCAGTTGCCAAGTGCCCAAAATGTGGTCATATGACTGGGGCATGCACAATATTTTCTGATGATCAGACATGCTTTACAAGCTGTTAAGCATCATTTTTAAGGCTGGCATAACTTTGACCAATTGTTAAGCATCCAGCTGTTAATTGAGGACTACCTGTATGTCTACAAAGTCACCAGGAACTGAATTCAACTGGAAGGAGACTTGACTTTTCATTTGACTTCATGTTTCAAAGAATTTTAAAAGGGCAGTAAAAGTATAACGTGCATGTCAGAATAATTACATTAAGTGGAATTGTTACTTAATACCCTCTGAACTAAATACGGGGTTAAGCAGAACAAGTCTAACAATCCTATAACCTTCTTTCATTTATTAACTGCATTTCAATTAAAAGATGCAGTTAATTAGATTGCCTCAAGCCCAAGTAGTACAGAAAAGCAAAACTTCAGTTTAGAAAATATAAATTAGAGCCACATATGAAAAATAATTGAATTTATATTGTTCTAATGAGAGATATAGATTTAAGGACACAGCTGTTTGATCTCTTTTGAGCTATTAAGTCTTTGGATAAGTGAGTTTGCACCTGAGGTTAACACTTAAGTATTATAACATGTATATGCAATATAAGAAAATAAACACAGTAAAACCTCATTTTGAGTAAACACTTGTGAAGATACCCATTATTCTCTAACCTCCAATAAATACGAAAGTATGCCACTGCATGGCATTAATGACATAACTGAGGCAATGATATGACTACAGATGTTATAAAATTAAGTATAATACTGATGTGAAATAAAATCAATAAAAGTAAAATCAATGTAAACTGCTTTAACTGCATCATGTATACAACTTTAGATACAATCGATCTGTCCATTATTTGGTAGGGTAGGGGGGAGCCTAAGGGGAAATTTGGTCATGGCATCCAAATGTAGCTAAACAGAGGATTATAAAATAAAACATTCATTGTAATAGAAATTTGAATTTAAGGTTCTCCTAATTTATATATGTTACTATTATACAATCTGCCTCCATTTCTTATTCAACTTGACTTACTTTCAAAAAAGATAAAGATAAGTAACTATGGCTTAGTGAATAAAAATCACTCTACTGGAATTACAGACCACAACAGCTAAATGTGTATCATAAGCTAAACTAAAAAGTGATTTGTTGGCTTTTGACTTAGTGTGAAAGTCCAGCCTGAGTTTCTGTAACCTGTTTGCATCAGCACATATTTCCCAAACAAATAGGAGGAAGATAATAAATTACAGGAAAGTGAGGTATACATCCAGTAGGAAATTATTTGAGCTTATCTTGTTATATAATTGCCTATAACATTAAAAAGTAAATCCATTTTTAATATCTGCAATATAGGATTCTTCTTTGCATGAGATAATCAATTGTGATTCTCTTCACACTATCTAATACATCTAGATTTAACCAAATATTAGTCACATTCTACTTTTGAAACTGTTCCCAATCCTTGCCTTGCCAAACAAGAACTGTTTTCTCTGCCTTGCCGTTACTGTCACCCTTGGAAAGGTGTATCTTTTTCCAAACCACTTCCTGCTCAGTCTGAAGGACTCTGAACTTCTGCTACAGAATCACGTGGTTGCCCTTTGTGTAGGCAATGATTGTCAGAGGAAAAATAGCACATTCTTCAGCTGGAATTTAGATCTTTTGGGGACATGAAAGCAGTGGGACATGGTGGCATACTGCAGGAGGAAGAAGGACCACCAAACCAATGTATCATTTTTCTGTAGTTACCCAAACAACATTCAACCATTTTATAACAAGGAGCAAGTTCACCAACAACACTTGACCAGTTTACAACAAGAAGCAAGTTCACAGAAGTCATTCAAAGCACCAGAGCAGAGTTCACAAGATAGAGCTTATCATTTCAAAGAGGCAAAAGAAAAGTTTTTTTCCCATTCAGAAACCCCATCTTCAACAGTCTGCTCATTCAGAATGTGTGTTCTTGTAGGCTGTATCACCCAATTTCTATTTCATGTGGATACTCAGGATTTACATAGGCATAGCAATTAAAATAATGTTGGCGTCTTGGAATTTTAACTGCCCTTTCAAATCTTGCCAAGGGAGGTATATGGAACAGTACAGTACAAGTAATGGGAGTGGTCAAAGTACACAGTACTTGCTTATCTATATCACAAACTTAATAGCACATACAAATGTAGTTGGGTAAATATCTACAACAATAGGCATGCCTTTAAAGCCTCAGAGTAATCAAGTTATGACTCATTTGTGCTAGGTTACTCTGAAAACCAGCTAAAACACAACCCCAAAGTCTTCAAAAAAACCTAATTTTCATTTATCCCAAGTCAAAAAAAAAGTATTCAGGCAGAAAATGTCAGAAGGGACAATAATAAAAGCTTTTAAGGGAAAGCTGTAAGTTTCCGCCTTAAAACCCGTGAAATCAATGCAAGTTCCTTCATACAGGCATGAAATTCTGAGAGGAAGAATTGCTGAGCTCAGACTCTTTTTGAAAAACAATTGTTTCAAATACTGTACTTTTTAAAAATGTGTGTGCTTATTGCAAAGCATCAGCAAATCAGGAAGTTGTACAGAATTGGTGACACTTTTTATTTAACACTGTTGGGGGATGCTAACTTGAGTACCTTGGATTTAAAACCCTATACTTGGGTACAAGTGTCCTTGAACTTCAATTCAATGGGCTTTACTCCACGTCAACTGATAATCTTCTCTAAGGGCCACAAAAGCTACCTCATAGATGTGGGTTGTAGATGTCATGATTTACCTCTGATTGAATGCTTAGGAAACCCTATCTAACCATACAGAGGGACTATTAATCTCTCTGCCGCCACCTCCCTCTCAAAACTACTAGAGGCATCTGGTTGAGGGCGAATTTTGACATCCCTTTTCGAAGTATAAACTTCCTTCCAAAACAAACAGGCAGCACCTTTCCGGGACCTCTCTTGCAGGATTCCCAGGAACACGGGGCACCCTTGTAAGTTATTTCCCGGCGCTGCTTGCAGCTTCCAGCTGGAAGGGCGAGAGAAAGCCCATCCTCCCAACCACTCAGGTAACCCAAGCAGAAGCAGCGACAGGTGTTTCCGCCGTCCCTTCTACCGAGAACAGCGTCCATCCGTCCCCCGCGCACCACATGCCCTCCTCCCTTTCGGGGGGAGGGGAGGTTTAGGGGGCCGCGCGCACCCTCACCTGAGCGCTTGGTAAACCTGCATCCCGAGCCCCCGGCTGAGGAGGGGAGGGAAAAAGAGGGAAGGGAAACAAGGTGAGGTCGGGCGCTCCATTTTGGCGGCAACGAAACCCGAGTGTTACTCACAGCCATAGCGGGGTCTCTGTAAGGCCGGCGAAGAGGGCTCCTCATAATGCATTCTCTTCGGCGCAGCTGGGAGTTCTGTCCAAGCTGGAACAAACTTCGCGGAATCGCCGCCCCCGTAATCCTCGTTTCCCGGAGGAGCACCGCTGCAATCTTTAACCGTCCTGGAGTCACCGCCGCCGTTGCTTCTCTCCCAAATGCGGGAACACACACACACACAAACACAAACGCACAGCAGGGGGAGTTGCCTGTTCCGGGCGTCTTCCGCAACAGCCCCAAGGCGGTCTCGCTCGTCGTAGCCGATTGCTCTCGCAATCCCTGCCGACCGGAGGCGCGCGCGTCCCGCCGCGGCGCGCGAAAGAAGTTCGGGGCAGCCTCTCGAGCCTCCCCCCGCGGCCTCTGGATTCGCTTCCCCCGCTCTTTTACCTGTCCTCTTTGCAAGCTGCGCCTTCCCGGGTCAGGCGACGCCGGTGTGTGTGTGTGTGTGTGTGTCTGTGTATGTGTTTTTGTGTGTGTGTGGCTGCCTCCCGCGCGCGCTCAGCTCTTTTGCTGAGGGGACCCCCCCAAAGTGAACTCTTCCTCCACCCTCAGCTCGGCGCCTTCCCTCTTTCTCTCTCCCCAGCCCCGTTATTTCATCGGCGGGGAGAGGAAGGGGGGCGGTGGCTGAGGCTACTCCACAGCGACCTCTGCTGCCCGCAAAAGGCGAGGCGAACGGGTGGGTCGAGCCCCTTCCTCTCCTCCGCTTGTAATCTGCATATGGGCGATTTTTGCAGGAGGTGACGGGGCAGCTCTCGGCTTTCTGACTTCCTTTCCCCTCGCCTCAGCTCGCCGGCGTGGCTTCTAAGGTTTTCATGCTGGGCAACACGAGGACACAAGGAGAGAAAACCATTAGGGTGTTTCATCCTATTTCTGTCCCAGGCAGTTGCTCGGTGACAGAGAAGAACTCCTTTCGTGGGAACTATTTCACCAGTGGACACATTTCATAATCTGAAATTATTCGCTGCCAGCCTTCAGACAAGTTGTTCACATAATTTGCATTATGGCAGACACAAACTCAGTTCCGGAGCTCCTTAAATGTTTCTAAACATGCATAGATGAACCTTCATTTTTGAGTTTATCCCGCAACTGAAAAAGTGAGACTCTAACGTGACGTTTGGTACGTTTGTCCCAAAGGTGTGGATTTTTTTTTCCAAAAGGCAACTGGCCTTCCCCCCCCCCCCCTTGGAGGAAGAGTTTTGCTATTGATTTGGGGTTAAACAAATGCTCACCAATCTTGACATGCCTCTGATCACAATCACAGCTTGGTAAGAATGTTCCAGTTGATGTGTTTGATAACAACCATCCACCTAATCTGTGGCCTTCCCTTTCTTCTGCTTTCCTCAGCTAAATCAAGCATAATTACCTATTTAGTACATCAAAGATTCATCCACCCACACAGACCATATGTGATACCAATTTCCATAGCTACTGGCTAATTTGACCATTAGCCATGTATTTAGAGATGATGGAAAATTAAACCAATACATCTGGAGGATATGAAATCAGAGATTGAGAGTAAGGACTACTAAAATCAACAATAGTGGGGTTTTTTTTCAATAGACATATTTGATGAAGATTGCAGAGTACAAAAATTATTATTTGGAAATCAGGCAGTATGTTTTTCAAAACCTGTCTGTCATGTAATATAATTATATTAATTGCTTTTAGAAATTAAGCCTGAATTTAGTTTTGACAAAATAAGAATGTATGGTCCTGCCTGTAGAACAGTTCACATTAATTAGAATGATGTCTCAAATTAATTAGCTGTTCTTTTTATTTTGCTTTTATTTGGCGTTATAATTCAGCTTGGACGTCATGCTAACAATCCTTGGTTTCTTAAACAGATTAAAAATAAATTATAATTGGCTGATTAATTTTAAAAAAAATAGGAGAAATAAAGATCATATTATTGATTGGCATAATTTGGCCTCATAGAACCTTAAAATACTTCATTCTGTTAGTGTTAAAGAAACAAGAAACAGATACTAGTTTGCAAATTAACTAGCTAGTGAATTATAATGAATAATCAAAATAAAATGAGATTATGCTGTATCCATAGGGAAACAGCAATAATGCCTTGTTGTTACACTGAACACAATTATACTGCTGCCCAAACAGTAATGTTGGTTGTTTTAGGATTGCAGCTTTAGACTAAGGTACACCTTGTTAGAATTAATCATCTAGGGAGATAAGATCAAGGAACACATATTCTTGTTAACCAGACAAATGAGCTTTGCCTCTCATCTGAATAGAATATTTTATCATTCTGTCAATAGTTATTGACATCTGTCTTCTCCAAGTAAATCTTTCAATAAGTTTTGAAAATGATTACTCAAGACGTATTTGGGTGGGAGGAGTTGAATCATCAATCCAAGAATAGAATTATAAAAAATATGTATTTGGAAACAAGAAAAAACAAAACAGGATAAGAAAAATGGACATGACATTCTCATGATTTCTACATTCAAAGTGGTTTTTTAGTGTGACTATACTCACTGACTCCAGAACTTAGTTAAAATCTGAACACAAGACATAAATTGAAAGCATTTGTAACAAACCTTGACTATTTTCTGTGGTCTAGACTGGAACCATAATCTGAATTTTAAGCAAACCAGAGTTTGGGTGTTTGCTGCTTGGGCAGAGGATCTTCAGTATAGCTTTTCCACATATTTTAGCGTACCCCCAATTTTGTTTGAATGCAATACACATCTGGAGACAATGTACTGCTATATATTTTTGCAGGTCAACTACAGACAGATTTCAGCAAAAGATCGAATATTTCTTGCAAAGAGCATAGATCATAAAATGATCTTTAATCATGCCCCTTCATGTAGTATTTTGATAGGTAAGATTTCTGAACTTCCATTTGTACTGCTGTGGATTGAAATAATTTCATGCATGCATATATGAATGGTTGTACCTAGCCATATAATCATAGTATCTATGATAACCTTGACAATTTTATACTATAATTCACTGTCCCACACAGAAGAGATGAAGATTATTCAATATTGCTTTGGGGGTTGCCAATCTTGTTCCTTCCATTTGTGTTAATGCTGTAATTCCTAGAATTCTCTGCCATTATGCTGCTCTGGTGATTCTAGAAGTTGCAGTCCTGAACATTCTTTGAGTGGAAATTAAAATTTTCTAAACAGTTCAATATGCAATTCTTTGTTCTGATCCTCTTAAGTCAAATAAACGAAGCTGTAAAATCACATTTGGTAGAAGGTCTCAATAAGCTCCAAATATAAGGATACAATGGCAGAGTGAAATTTTGAATCCAGAAGACTTTCTACTGCCAGTCTAATGGATGATAGACCGATTTCCATATCAATTTTTCTATATGCACATGTTTTATTAAAACAATGCATATATATAATCTCTGCCCCTCTCCCATCTGTATTTTTAAAAATATTTACACATAGTTTCTGTATGTCAGTACTGAAGAAATTTTTCAAAGTAGAATGGTCATGCTTCCTCTCATGGTTTTTTTTCAGAAACATTATGAAACACCAAAAGAGGAACTGAAATATGTTTGAAAAAAATATATAACCCAAAACATGTATTATTTAAACAAAATTTAAAAATCTAAGAGCCCAGAGATTTTGCATTTAGAAGCTACTACTGGTTGAAATACTTAAGAATTTTAAATAAGAATTAAACAAATGATGAAAGTTAATAGCATAGTTTGTTGCTGCCATATCTGTGGGCTACTGTTGCTATTACAATACACTTGTTTTATTGTGCTAAAATTAGGTGCATTTCCATTTTAGAAATTTTACCTTTTTAAAATAAATGCCTTCAAATTATATCAAATGAAAATGTTTTGCTTTGGTTTTTTCATAGGAGTAAGCAGTGGCTTGTTACTGAAAAATTATTTGTTTGGAAAAGAGTCAGACAGTTATTTTTTGGAAACAGCTCTTTTATCCCATGATACAGTGTGAAAATTCACTTTTTGATACCTTCAGATATAAAAAAGAATGTTCGGATGCTTTTTGTCAAGCAGTTGATTAAATCTAAGTTTCAAAACAGGGGACCAGAATTGTTTGGATACACAAATGTTTATATAAACTACTACATGTTTTAAAATGTATTGCTAAAGGGCACAGTTATGTATACCTACTAGGATAGATAGTGGTTTAGTCAAAGCACTATAGTTAAATAAGCCATAGTTCAGCATAATCTGTAACTAAAAGTCAATATCTATAATGCTGATTTTTTTCCTTACTCATGAAATAAAATGAAAAGCAAATTAAAACCCTCATATAAAATCATAGCTAGCCTAATTGCAATTGTTGTATTACAAGTATTTACTTGCTATTTGTTTGTTTGCTTCTGGTTGTCTTCTCTGAGATGACCAAATTTAGGAATTTGATAGTTTCATCTGCAAAGATTGTCTCTGCACGATGCATATTCAGTAAAAAGGCTTTTAAGAGTATAAGAAATGGACATGAGCATTGAAAGATGGCATTATTTCATCTGACTCATTTCACATTTTCTCAGATTAAAATTGCTGTGTTAAATTGCTCTAATTAAAGTATATACAACTGTCTGAGTAGGGAAGGAGAGAGCTCTGCTTCTGTTCCCTAATCTTCTTGGGAGGCAGGTTAGTGAGCAAAGGTTTTAAGCCTTGCTACTATCTGCCTTCTTATTATAAAGAATCTTTAGAATCAATTAACCAATTTGATTTATATCCAGCATTCAGGAGCTAAAGACAGCTACATGGCATTTGCTTCTCTCTTTTTTACAGCAATAGCCCAGGTTGAGCTAAGAGAGACCAAAGTCACCCAGTGAACTGCCATAGTTGGTGGAAGTCTCCACTAATCTGGCTCTTAAATTTTAGAAAATTAATAGTGCCTGAAAATTTAGGAATTAAGTTTTCTCTTTGTTTCCTCTTGCATGAAACAACAATCTCAGGCCAAAAAAAATTAACATATTCCAACAGTCTGAAGTACAATTAAAATAACTTTGTACTCTCAAAAACACTTTATTCTGAATTATTGCACTTATCTGGTGTCTTCAAGCATGACATATAACAAGAGAAAATAGTTTCCATGCATTATAAAGAAGGAAATTAGTTTGCTTCTGCAATTCACTAGGCAGAAAGAATCAATACGCCATGGATTATAGTTAGCGTTGTATATATTCAGTAAGTCATGATTTGTAAGTATGCATATCATACTAAGCCAAAAATAAACAAAATGTGTCCTGTTTTATATTTTGGAAGCTGCCTTATGATATTCATATTTGGCTTTAAAATCTAGTATGAAAACTTTTTGAATAAAAATAATCTGACTCAACTTCAGAAACACCCAAAGGAAAAAAATAGTT